TGATATTGTTTTCCCTGTTTATCTTTGACTAAAAATTTACTGCTACAATTTAGTTTTGAAACTTCTCGAGTAGATAAAACCCATGTGGCTTTTGTTCTGGGTAAATGCTGGCAACTGATGTTGGCAGACCACATCTTTTACATTGACATTTTAGTAGGCAAACCAGGGCTCCCTTGTTGGAGGTGTTTGGAATTTGGATTCGAGTGGGTGTGTCTTTGGAGCTACTTTTTGTTGTTGGCAAAGGGTTTGTTAGGAGCCAAAAACAGCTGGTTACTCTTGGAGGTGTGCTGTTTTGGCTGTTACATTGTGTGTTTGGTTTGTATGGAATACAGTGGTTCTTTAGGGAAACAAGGAATAATTGACATTTCTCTGGGATAAGATTAAATGTTTAGCTTCTTCTTGGACTTCTTTGCCAAACATTTTTAATGACCTTCCTTTCTTATTGTGTGTTGAGTACATTATGTGTTTTGTTTGATGTTAAGGAACTAATTTTGATGAACTTATCATCCGTCTTTAGGAACTTTCTTCTATTTTTGTTGATAAAGTTTGCCTTTATCATATTAAAAAGTTTGAAATACTTCAAAGTGGATTAGTCTTGGATGGTCGATTACAATTTGGGGATTAGTCTTAGGTGGTAAATTACAATTTAGGGCCCATTTACACTTTGATCCCCACACTTCCGGTTTTGCCTATCTTATTATCCCTGTAGTTAATTAACAGTCTCAAACCCAAATCGAGATTTCCATCAATATTAACAGTCTCAAATCCAAATTGGACCTGATTGCAAGCGTCAGTAAACTACAGGGATACAACTGAATTGAAAGTGTGGGGACCAATATGGAGAATGGCCCAAAATACATGAACTAATATTGTATTTTGGCCGTCTTACATATGACCTCCAATAATGCTCTTCCCCCTCCCTGTTGCTCACACAGACACGTATATAAGTTGCACCCATCCATTTAACTGTATATCTGCAAATAATTTAACTGTATATCTGCAAAATTTGTAACCCACATTGATGGATAGTGATCCAAAGATCTTCTACTAACTTGGAGTATGGATTGTTGTCTTTAAAAATAGTACTCAAAGCTGACACTTACTAATTAGAAAAATCATTAATCAGTCTTGTCTTAATCCTCCAATAGGTATGTGGCATCGGCGGAATATTCTCTTTTTCAGTCTAACAAAATCCATATTATCTCATCATTTGACTTCTCTCTGATTCCCCACTCTGATCCCTTACTCTCATTTACATCCTTATGTATCTTTAGATTTTAGTCAAGTACTGAATTGAATAAAAAATAGAAAATTAAAAGGTCTGAAATCTATGCAGGGTTCAGCAATATACTTCCAAATGATCTATATTTCTCCTGAGTTCACTGTTTTTCTTAGCGCTCTGACTGCTCCTGTTGTCATGCAGGATGAAAAAGTTGAGGCTAAACCATTTGTAATAGGTGTAGTAAAATCTTATACAAATGTAGTTTGGAAAATGCTTTGACAGTGCTGGACATGAACTAGCAAACTGGTAAAGTCAGGTTTTCACTTTTTTGCTTATTTTTGTTCTCCTTTTTATACGTTGGGTTCCATGTAACATATTATGCACTCTTAGATCGATAAAGAATTTAGTCTAAGTTTATTTTGAATGTGTACTTCAAGCAATTGAAACCGTCGTAGTAGTTTGTTGAACTATTAAGCATCATGAACCTGTTCATGTATTTGTTATTACATTATCAATATTAATCTGACATCACTTGCGCTGGGAAACTGAAAAGTTGACCTTTCAGTGCTCAATAGGCCAGAGCTCAAAGGCATGATTCATTTGTAGAGCATGGAGGAAGAAGAAAGTGAGCCTGTACAATCCCGTATTTGGTCAGTTTCTCATCTTTATATGCATTTAATCTAACTCTGGGTTCCAATATATTGGGGTTACTTTGGTTGCAATTTCCTAATATGCAAATGGAGTTTAATATT